AAAAAAAAAAAAAAAAAGAAAATTGAATATCTTTCCTTGAAAGAAGTTGTCCAAAGCCTGGAAGAAGTGGTAGTCAGTGGTGCAAGGTCTGGTGAACACGAAGGATAACTGAATTTCCAAGCCCAGCTTCTGTAGTTTGAGCAGCATTGTTTGTGTCACCTGTGGTCAGCCTTTGTCTTACAAGAGGATTGGCCTGTCTTTATTGACCAACCTCAGCTGTTGCTTCGTCACAAGGATCTTTATCATTTCATCCAATTAGTCACAGTAGAAGGTCATGAAGGATTTCATTACCAGGTTTCATGAAGATGTAGTGGATAGTACCAGCACTGGACCACCAAACAGACACCATTAGTTTTGGGGGGGGGGGGTTGATGAATTTTCTGTTTTGGACTGTGTTTTGGCACTTGATCTTTATCCAACCATTGTGCCAAATGCTTGCGATTGTCCAAAGAACCTGTTTTTCATTCCATATAACAATATAGTGTAGAAATAGTTCACCTTTAGGTCACGACAAAAAAGAAAGGCAAACTTTGAGATAATTTCTCTTCTGATGCTTGCTTAATTCATGCAGTATCCATCTATCCAGCTTCTTTATCTTACCAATTTGTTTCAAATGGTCCTATATTGAAATAGCAACATCATACTTTGCTGCTAATTCACAGGTAGGCTGGATGGATTCACTTCCACTACAGCTTTCAGCTCATCATTATCCAACTTGGTCTTAGGTTGCCCATGTGGCTCATTTTCAAGATTAAAATCACCAGAATGGAACTTCTCAAACCATAGACATACTGTGAGTTGATTAACCATATCCTTCCCAAATATTTCATTGACATTTTGAGCTGTCTGTGCTGTATTGGTCCCAAGATAGAATTTGTATTCAAAATTTTTGACTTCTCCATGGTTTCACAAAAACTGCTCTTAAAAAAAAATTGAAAGATAAAAATGTGTGTTTGAAAGAATGAGAATGTACCTTCATGATAAAAATAAAACAGGAAGGGTCAAAGTGAAATATCAGAGATATCAACTGTTAAACCTCAAGGAAATTGGACATTTTATACTTAATAACCTAACTACATGGATAAAGGCGCTCAGAAGAAACTAACTCTGCCAAGACCTTGATCTTGGACCT